AGAAAGAGAAAGAGAGAGAAAGAGAGAAAGAACGGGCGAAAGAGAGAGAGAGAGAGAGAGAGAGAGCGAGAAAGAAAGAGAGAACGAAGGAGAGAAAGGCACAACAACAGCCAGGAGTCTGTTTCATCTAGTTCTTCACTTGTTTGCCATGCATCCATTGAGCGACCATTTCATTGCCAACAAAGCCAAGTGTCGCCTGTGCAGCACGGACCCTCTCGATGCGCTGACCTCAGTCCGAACCAGAGACATCCCTCAGCCAGTCGTTGGGCATCCAAGTCTGCAGTTGCACTTGTGGAGCCCAAGCCAACCATGATCGTTGGCAGAAGAGCCAGCGTTTCTGAGCAAACAGCGCTTCTCCTCGGCCTTGTTGGGCTTCTTGCCTGACATCGCCTCACTGGTGTGGCTGCTGCTTATTTAACAGAAAGTCCTGTGACAGGGGTTGGACAATTGATCGAGAACATCGCAAGCAAGTTCTTCAACGCAACTTCAATCCCCCCGTGCTCCCTGATCAGCAAAGTTTTGCTATTTCTCTGGCCGATTGGGTCTTTCACAGCTGACTGCTAAGGACTCTTGTCTTGACCACTTTAAGCTTCAGCTTCACCAAGTACTCGCACAGAAAGCATCGAAGGTGTTGAACGCTTGTTCCAAATTTCTGGCAGCGTCACATCCCACACTACGCTGACACGTAGCAGTGGCAGTTAACGCCCGGGCTGATGGTTTAGTGCATGGAGTATGCAGAGAATGGACAGTTCGGGTGTGCTGATTATTCAGCCTTCAGCATCTGCCCGGCCCGAGGGGAATCCCGGAGCCCAATTACAGAGTTCTCTCCGAACGTGAACTTCTGAGCCGCAGTTTCCGACGCTACAAGTGGTTTTCACCTGCAACTTGTCTGGAGCTATTACCTTGCGAGGCCTTTCCTTCTCGAGCCCGGCATTGCTTTCTGAAGAAAGCCGTGAGTACGGTCCGAGGCCTCCTTTTCTGACTAGCCCAACACACGATATGCTGACGGAAAATTCCTGCCTGCCCGCCATATCCTTGCCTCAGCTGTGTTCAAGGAACGCAGATAAAGAGGCAAGGTTTCTTTGCTGCAGGAATATAAGGCAAACGTACGTGAACACAACATGGAGAGCAGCATTGAAAACAGAAAGGCGCGGGCGCCGCATATGACATCGGGGCTTGCTGGTAACCTTGCCTGAACAGGAGCAACATGCACTGGGGCCTCCGGTCGTGCGCTAGGATGCCAGGTTCTAAGCCCCTGACGCCATGAATGGCTGTTGGAAACCTTGCCTTTGTCTGTGCAGCGAATGCTGAAACCACTGATCAGCAAGTCGTCACACTCGCAGCAACATGCCGTCTGGAGATAGCAGTTTCTGACCTGATGCACGTAGCTAGTCAGCATTCGAGAGCCGTGCTGTGCTGCTGGATCGTAATTGGCAGCCATGTTGAAGACAAATTGCTCGAAGCAAAGGGGCAAGACCTGGTCAGCACAAATGGCATAGGGGCAGTTTGTTCTGCTTCTTCAATCATGGAAGGAAGCTTCTCTTGAGGTCTTGCAATCTGCACGGCCAATGTCTTAGTCAATGCGGAAGGCCGTTCTGTTCACGGACCCTGCGAGTCAAGCAGGTAAAGTGCAACCATCAGCTTCTGTGCCAGAGGATGGTTTCAGCTACTTGTACTTGAAGTGGCAACGTAATAATGCATTGCACAACTGCAACGCACTTGTGGATAGTGCTGAATCACTGGTGAACAAGATTGTCAGTTGGCTGAGATTAACTGCGATGCATTCTTACAGGGGCAATCTGTGATGTGTCCTGCATGCTACATGCTGCACCCCGCATCTTCATCAGCGCTCGTGGACTCTAGTCAAACAGGGAGCAGAGGTGCCTGAAGTAGAACGTGCGAGCCACAACCGGGAGGCTCACAGCACAGATAGGCTTGGCTTGATTGCAGCCGGCAGCGATCGAGAATTGTGGAAATGGAAAATGTGAAGTAGCACCCAAGCTAGGGCTTTGCCTGCAAAACAAGTCAAAGGCAGAATGGCTAACAGATCTGGCCACTAACCAAAGACTGCACACCATGCGCAATCAAACCATGGCGACCGGGAAGCTTTTCAGGTGACACAGCGCTTTGTTTTTTTTTTCAGCGTTGCGCCGGTCAGCCACCGCTTTGAGGCTCTTCAGAGGCGCCAGTGTCGGCTGGTGCCAGCACCTCGGCATGTGTAGACTCTGCCGGGTGGGCCATCTGTGGCACTTCAGCAGGGTGAGCTGCATGTGCCTCAGCTGGGTGTGCCGGTGGGTTCGGGGATTCTGCCGGGTGTGCTGCCTGAGCTTCAGCAGGGTGGGCTGCTGGTTGCACAGGCTGCGCAGTCTGCGTCGCCATACCTTCTGCGGGGTGCGCAGCGGTCACGACCTCAAGTTTAGAAATCTGTCTATCGATCCACTCATGGCAAGTCTGTGAAGCTTTTCCTGTACTGTACATCTACTCACAGCAATTGTGATAACTGGCTATGTCTGTGGCGGCTCTGGAATGCCATGGAGCCACTGAGACCTCGACTGCAGCGGCTTGCGCAGGATGGGCTATTGGCAGGTGCATCTGCTGTGCGTGCTGCTGTCCAGGAGGAGCTGTGTGATGTGGTGGGGACGGATTTGGAAGCGTGTGCAGGGCTGGAGTTGCCGCGGCTTCTGCAGGATGTGCTATGGCAGGAGGCAATGTCTCCGCAGGGTGTGCAGGTGCTGGTCCAGGTGTGGCTGGTGTGGGGAGGGCATTGCTTGCAGTTGCAACGGGAGCAGCAGCTGCAGCTGGAGCGATCGGGGCATCTTCGCTGATGTCTCGCGCTTGGCTCGCCCATTGCTGCGCTGCGGTGCTGGGCCCCGCGGGCCGCTGCCAAGGCCGCGCTGCGGCCGTCGCCGGCACCGCCGGCACGGCGGGTGAGGCTCCTGGAGCGCGTGCTTCTGCCCCGCCCGCGGGACTTGCAGCCGTTGTGCCTGCAGATGCCCCAGCTGCACCTCCAGACACAGGCCCCGAAACGGTGGTTGCAGGCTTTGCGGTCCATGCTTGGTCCAGGTTTCGTTGTGCTTCTTGCACAAGGTCTAAGGTACGCTGCGCACCTTCTGTGTTGATCTGGCCATTGTCACCAAACACGAAGTTGGGATGCTGAAATTGAAAGCCCGCCAGCTTGAGCAACTCGGCTGCTGCGCTGTTGCTCTTGAAGATCTCGCTGAACCTCGAGCTGGAAGTGTTGACCTTGCGGTTCTTGTCAGAACTTGGATCCTTGAGCAGATTTGCCAGCACCATCGCGAGTGTACTGAGTGATTTGGCAGCCTCTGCTTTGCTGTTGCTTTCCTGCGCGGCCCGAGGTCATGCTGTGAACATGCAAGATGCTTCATTCCTGGCATTTTGACAGCCGAGGGGCAACCACAAGGCGTTGCAGCCCGCCATTGATGGCGTCGAAGCTTTCCCGCACGGTGGGTGCTCCTGCAAACTAGCAGCACTGAGCAGCACTGCCAGCCTGGCCCTGTGCAATTTTTGTGCCCGTGTCTATTGCAGCGTCTGCTCCTGCAGGTGCGGCAGCTGCCAAAGACGCTGCGCCTTCAGTCGATGCTTCATCTGCTCTCAGGCCGCTTTACCACAAAAGGCTATCAGGCTGCCTTGTGATAATGTTAGGGATGCCAATTGTGAGGGTTTGTCTATGCAGGCATGCGACCCGCAGTCTTGGTTGCCAGTGCAGGCGCGCTGGCCACCGAGGGCAATGGCCTGCGTGCAGAGCTCAGAGGCTTAGAGGTTCGGCTGACACCCAAGCATTTCACTTGCTATGTGGCAACTCTGAGGCCACTGCTTGCTGTCAGTTCCCTCGTCAGACCTAAGCAAAATCACTTAAGCTGGCAGCAGGTCTTGAAACCTCAAGATCCTCCAACGCCATCCTCCCAACCCAGGAGAGTATGCAAAGAAGTCCACGGCTGTTTTGCAAAGCGCCGCTTCTGGTCAGGCTGCTTTGTAGAGCTACTCACATGCCTCCTAGGACAGTCTTCGCCCGAATCAAGCTCTCCTTGGTTCCAGAATAACTAGATACCCTTCAAAACTTCAACATCTGCTCAGGTCGATGGCTTGGTAGGCTTGGATCTTTGGTTGCCAGAGGCTTACCGGGAGACATGAACCTTCTCCCACCAACCCCACCTGTTCGTCTTGGCCCTGGTTGTCCCTTCGCTAATGGTCGAGCTACCACAGTAATCATCAAAGCAAAGCACTTCAGGGCAGTCTCTTAGATATGCCAACTGATCTGAGATACCTTCTCTTCGGTACGTGCCTGCGCTCGCAAGTCAAAGTTCTTCAACAGCCAGTCGCAGTCCTGGTCATGTGTTGCCATGCATGCAAGCGAAAGATTGTGCTGCAGGCAACTGAACTTTTGCCTCTTTTGGCTCTCATTGTCTCTCCTCCTAATTAATTTTGGAGCCTGATTAGTGTACTCCTCCAACAAAACTGGTTCCTATTTAGGAAGGGAGCCCCCAAACAAATTTGACCTTAAATTCAACTCAGTAGGGGTGATCGGGATCAGCTCAAAGCTTCCTCAGCTCAGGACAAGGGTTTCAAATCTAGGATTCTAAGAGCAATTTGGATTAGGACCCTAAACTACTTACTGCCTGAGGCTGATTCAGTAATCCAACTAGCTTTTATTCAACCTACCTGTTCCTCAAAATGATCTAGGGCCGCGCAACTTCGTACAATCAACACCTGTTGACCCCTGCATGAAAACATTCAAGTAGAACTCACGCCCAAAACGTTGGGGCACGAAATATTAACTGAAGTGTTGCAGCTTCCCACCATGACCCCTGTAATCCCGCCTCGTGCAAATCCGCCGCGTATTGCTGCGCAGCTCCAAGCTCCTTCTTCTTTCCGCCCAAATCCTTCCTCAATGTGGATAAGCAGCTTTTGTCAGAGTAACGGAGCTGCTACAAATGCTACATCTGATGTCTTATCTTGTAGCAGCTAGCTGCTACAAGTTTTGCTTTGAATGCTACAAGTAAGTCTCAACTCGCCGCGTTCGTGGCACATGTGGTGGCAGCTGTGGCCGAGTGACTTGTCATCACTGATGTCACCCTCGATCTCGGACTTCTCAGCTGCCTTCCGTGTGGCAAGCTCCAGGTCTGCCTGTCGCTTCTTTGCCGCGTCCTGTGCTTTGGACAGCTCTTAAAAGGCCGCTTTAGGATTGTAAGCAGCGCCGGTACTCCTTGACAGTCTCTTCGTACTCCTCCTGGTCGTCTGCTTCCTCTGTCTTGGCAACCGCCATTTCCTTCTCAATGTCCTGGAAGCCAGCACATACAATGACAACTGCCAAAGCCTACTGAAACCATGCGTGGGGTCATGGGGCAGCACCGTCAAACACGATCAGCTAAGCATCAGATGCCAAGGTATCGATCATCTTCAGAACTCCGTTGCTGCCCTCTGAGTTCTTCTGGTAGCCACCCTCAAAGGTTGGAGGAGGCTGTGCAATCTTGGACGACAGCTGAAGCAGCGACAAATCGTATGGACTCTTGGTGGTGGTCTCTGCCACCATGCTTGGATTGTAAACCTTGTTCAGGCGGTCTCGAGCCAGGCTCAACAAATCGATGGCCGCCGAATTGGAGGACATGCTCTCCTGACAATTGGGGCAGCTCATGTGGTTAGGTTTGCGTCGCTGGCTTGGTTTTCCAACCGTTCCACAGATCTCTCCCTGCCTGGAATTCCGTGTGCTCTGCTTTCCGGTTCTCACTGGCTTTGGCGACGGACTTATCCAAATCGGCAACGCCTGTTTGCAGAGCCTTGATGTCCTCTGTGAGCTTGGCAATTGTCTCTTTCTTCTCTGCCAAGCCGGCTTTGAGTGACTGAATCTTGGAGTCCAGCACCTTGGACTTATCTGCGTTGTCGCGGAACTCCTTCTTGCAGTAGCCCTTTTTTGTCTCATCATCTTCCTGCTCTTTCTCCAGCAAAGCAACCATGCCGTCAATCTTTTTCAGGATCTTCCCAAAGTCTGCCTTTCAGGGGCATGACGTGCAGCTGTCAGAGACAACTCTTGTTGCTACCATCGCACCCGACCAGCCTTACGTCCCGACAGAGCTAAAGCCAGGAAGTTTAGCTCTGGATGGTCCCTTTTCTTGCTGCGGAGGATGCTAAGAGCCTCGCGGCGAACCTGGAACTGAAAATCAACAATGTGCCAACTCTCAAAAAGCCGTCCTTCTCCTGGCCTTCTCTCGACTTCGTGAGAGCTGGATCAGCGAAGTGCTACGCTTCCGGAAGGTATCCAACGACTCGTCCGAATTCAAAATCTTGATTGTGTCCTGAATGCCAAGGTTCTAAGCCCGTGGAGGTGCAAAACAAAACCTTCTCACTCATGCCAATACAAGATTTTTGCCAAGCTGTACAGCATCTCGACAGACCATGGCAGACCCATACAACTCTTGCCATGGCCGAACCGGGCCATGCTGTCCTGCAGAGCCAGCTGCTCTTCCTGTCCTTGATTGCAAGGTCTCACGCTAGCCAAGAGGAAAAGCATGAGGGACCCCCATCTAAAGCTGAAGAGGTAGCTTTAAACTCAACCCTTCTCGCATCCACTATGCAGAGAAACTATTTGCTCCATCCTGCACGCGTCTGCTCGGTCAGTGTAATCGTTCTTTCCGGCTCCGCGCTAAATGCAAGACGTAGGCTTCTCACACTCCGAGTCTGAGTAATGACAACACATACTGGGCATGTCTCAGCCGGGAAGGCCTTGAACGTCGGAGCAACGCATGCCAGATGTTTCACCAAATCGCTTTCAAGATGATATGGAACGGGAGCCCCGTCTGCCTGATAGAAGCACACCTAGGGCAACAAGCACTGAGGGCCCAACCGCCCCCAAAAAGAGCCCATGATTCTGAGAATAACCCACATTAGGATTACATTCCCTTACTCCCCATTCAGAACCAGTAAGCGTAGCCATGCCACAATGGCTGTGGCAGGCAGGGAGGTGGGTGCATTTGGGCAAACAGGCTTCCGAACTGAGGCTTCTCCACCCTAAAGCTTGTGCATAGAGTCTAATTAAGGTTTAGGGTTTGGGGTCTGGGGCTCAGAGGCCCAACAGTCCTACCCCAAGGAAGTCCCTGACATTTCTGAAGGAGAGAGCTTCATATTTGAGGTTGCAGCCCCTTCAGGTGAGGGGCGTGAACCCTCGACCCCAAACTGCCAAGCCCTGAATCCTCAACCGCATCAGTCTTCGAAGTCCTCTCGCCTACCATCAGCGAACGGTTCGTTTGCTGTCAAGAGTCGGGCAGCTTGTCGCTTCTCCCAGTCCTCCGCCTTCTTAGCACAGCTCTTTTGCAGCTCCGCGAGCATCCTTTGCTGGTCGACATGATGCTGTGTGCCCAAGTTGCAGCAATCTGCCCATTCAGCTGCAACCACCCCTTCTGGATAGCAAAGCTTTAGCCATGCATCTTCTTATCGTCCTCAAGGGAGTTGCCCTGCTCTGACAGCTGTCGCTCCAGATTGACCACCTCAACCTTCAACTCTCCAATCCTTTTCATCTTGCGTTCGAACTGGTTCAGCAGCGTGGAGATCTCCACTGTCTTGGACTTTTTCACTCCAGTGAAGCTCTCCTCTGATTCCTCCTCGGTTTTGGTCTCTGTCTTGATCTCCGCCTTGGTCTCATCCTTAATGCCTGAGAGCATGCCGACCACCTGGGTGCAAGCGGATCAAAAAGCTTGGGTCGCAGGCTGGGACTGTGAGGGCCACTCAACTACCCCGCGTGCCGAGCCGCCATACCGGGATCGGCAGCGCTGCGGTCGCCTGGCCATTCTTGACAGAGGTTGCGCGGTGCAAAGTGCCACATCTTCTGCAATGCTCCTGTCTTTTTCCCAAGATCATGCTGAGCCTTGCAGGAAGGCGGCTGCCTGGCGCTTGTCCGAGCTATCAAGGCGTAGATCGCTGTCCAGCAAGCGAAGGAGCCGGGAAACCTGCTACTGCTGCAACATGCTGCAACACTCATGCTCTCCTACCCTCTCATAGGGCGAACAATGCCGGCGCCTGACCGTCAGAGTCGGCAATCTGCAGGAAGGATGCTGCGGTCTCGGTGCCTGTGATGGCTTCAGCGGCTTTATCGATGGTTGTGACCACCTGCTTCTCTTCAGTGACCTGTGGGGAGCAGCCAGGTCACCACCGTGTGATTTTGTTGAAGATTGCAAGAGTAGTTGTGCATAACATGTGCAATGCTTCAGGGAACTGCCAGAAGACTTAAACGGAAGACGTGGCATAAATATTCCTCCCAAATCCCCAAAGTGGCACACCCTGCAAAGCTGCAAAGGGCTCATTCAGGTTAGGCTCGCCTCCTTCACGAAGGAATCGTGCTCCTTGGAACGCTGAGCCTTAGCCGCCTTCAAGCTCTCCTCCTCAGCCAGCCGGTCCTCCTTCAGCTTGGTGACCTCCTGGAGGCAAATCATGGTCTAACAGAAAGCACTGAACAGTTTTGACCTGGCTCCTGCTGGAGGGAGTCGATCTCTGCCTTTTTCTCATCAATGTCGGCTTGAGACAGCGGATTGCTCTCCGCCTGCTGTATGCTCCTTAGTTGGCCAGTTTGGCAATGCCAGGCTCCACAGCTGAACGAGTTCGCTACTCTCTAGGAGGATCATCATCGCCAGGGGAGGCAAGCGTCTGCTGAAGCTCAGCAGTTGTGCCCTTGCAATAACATTCGAACTTCTCGTAGAGGTCTGCTTCAGTTTTGGCCTCCTTCTCAATCTTCTCTCCCATCTTCTGCATCATTCTGACTACCTCCCAACTCAGAAGAGCGAGCACGCTTTGCCTGTGAAGCCCCTAGGCCCTATGCGGCCTTTCGGATCGGGTTTCCACCGCTGCTGCTGTCCGATCGGGTGGTGATTGCGATGGCTTCGGCGGCCAGCGCCTCAATCTCAGGCATGTTCAAGTAGCATCAAGACCTTTCCTGGTAGATCCGAAGGCACAGAGAATCTGAATGCAAGTGAGAGGCCGCCAGCAGTAGCCATCTGCACTTCATTGCAGCCAAGGGGGGATGACGCCCTCCGAAGCCCTTGGCACCCTCTGATGCTGCAGCCAGAGCAGGCCGAGAGAAGAGGAAGCAAACAATGCAAGCTCCGAATCCTCATCCCTGTCCCTTGTTGCTGAGCTAGACTTCGCCATCTCCAGCATCACTCTACCATGTCCAGCAGGTCAACTACTTGGAACCAACCGCGAAGTCATTTGCCGCCCTCTCCTCATGGAAAGTTGCAGTCTCTTGCAGGGTCATGCGACCTTGTGTAGCCTGTAATTGTGTAGTCTGTGAATGCAGGCATGCAACTTGTCCGACGGCTTTGACAGCTTGCGACCGGATGTTGTGATAAGTAAGTGTCAGCTGGGCACAGGACCCAGCGCTCTGGATGATCGAAGCCAACGCTTGGATTGTAGAGGCCTGAGCTGCAATTGGGCCAATACTGCATCCAGCAAAGAGCAGTACTGACCGTGAATGCAAAGCAGCGAACCTCCTGCAACCAAGCAGGCATGTTGTGCTTTCGCCAATTGGATGAAGCTCTGTGCTGTTAGAGCTTGCTCAGAAGATGAACTGATGAGAAACGAGCCGGCTTGGCACGGCATCAGCGCAACTTGTGTGCGGCCTTGCCTGCGAAACAGCCTGCTAACTGTCTTCGGAAATTCAGAAAAGTATGCGTCGGGTCGGGATTCACATCTTGACCCCATTACATTTCACACCAAAGTTGCAGCACGATGACAACTGATGGAAAATCATTTGTGCTCCTGCGCACACATAGGGATAGCCAGTAGCTGCATTTTGGAAATCTTTCTTTCTTTCCAGCATTGTGGCTTTTTGGTGTAGCTGTCCGTACTGTGATCTGGGCCCATGAAGAGTGGATGCAGTATGATAAGGTCCCACGCCGAGTGGCAGCGTCTGTCTGAAGGTCTTGCAGGGTCAATCCTCTTCCATTGTTGTCCGTCTTACTCCAGCGTAAGCAAAGTCTATGAGTCACCTCGCTGCTTCATAGCTTCGCAGATTTTTGCCTTGCGCTCAATGGCTCTGTCCCAATCTGGTGCGCAAGCCTTGACTTGACAAGAACATGCTGAGAATGCCGGAATGCCGGAAGCTCATCTCTGGTTGCTGCCAAGTGTCGAGAGCCAGGTTGACAACTTTGAGGGCATGTTGGTAAGTCCCCGCTGTCGGGCCCAACTCCAGGTAGGCAGCGGCCAAATTGCAGTAGAGCCTGCTGTGTTTCTGGAAAAGGTTCCGCAGAGCACGCTCTCAAGCTAGCTCAGGCAGCATTTTGACAGTACATGCAAGAGCCTGGAAGACAGCAGTGTCAATTGCCCCTCGCGCTCAGCAACCGTCTCAGAAGTCATGTCGTGCTCACCGCTGCAGAGGGCGGACCTCGCCAGTGTCAGGCAATCCAGCCCCTGCACGTAACAGGCCACAGCCTTCCAGAGTACTTGAACACGCGGATTGGAGCATAAGACCTTCTCCGGTTGCTTGCACTTGGCTGGGTTGCTGAAAAAGCTGTTCCCTGCGTGCTTCAGATCTGCTGCATGTTGTAGAAGCCATGTTACGGACTTACATGCAGTCTTCTTCGTCTTCCTGAACACCAAAATAAACATGCGTCCATCGGGATCCCCTGAGTAGTTGATGGGCTCTTGTCTGTCTATCAGTTCCAGATCTAGCTGTTGCTCTTTGATGAACTGATTCATCTTGTCCATGTTGGCAAAGTCGCCCCACTTCTCCTGTGGAATTGAACAGCTTGGGAGAATGCAACCCAATCACACAAGCATGGGACTAGCAGCTAAACACATCAGGCAGAAAGAGTGCGCCGGGCACACGCAAGTACTGTACTCGAAAAACACGAAGCTGTGTAATACAAAGCTGCCAAACTGAACCCGAGCTCAACGCAGGTGGCTCAAAGCTGGAAGCTGTTTGAAGCAAACATGAACCTACGAGCATGCAGTCGCATCTGCAAACCAACGCCAATATCGTTACTTGCAGCTGCATTCAATTGTAGCTGGGTCTCATCACTGTATCTTTTGTTGCATCTTTCGAGCTTCCACTATTTCTCTGTGTGATCAAGCAACCAAAAATCTTCTTCTTGCTTGACGAGGCTCGCTATCGTACAGCAACAGAATGCCACCCTCTTCAAGGAGCGGGGTGGCACCTTGTAGCACGTCGGTCCAGATGAAAGGTTCCTTGTATCCAACCTTTGCAGGCGGCGCATGTTTGCCATGTTGCATTCACTTCGAGTTTCAGTTCCTTGGCCTGTTTGGACCGTGCCTGCGTGAGCAGCGAGGTACACACCAAAGCTGAAGATCTGCCGAGGAGATGTTGCACGCCTTCCCAGCTGTCCTTGCAGGCAGTTCTTTGTGCTTGCATATGCTTGCATGCGGCAGCAGTTCTCTGCTGATCTGTGTTGGCATCTCGCGCCTCGGTGACATCCACGCAAGCCACACGGCCGCGGAGTAGCACCGAGGCTTGACGGCTCGGCTCTGTGCCCAGCGATGCTAGGAAGTCCTGCACAAGCTTCGGACAGAGCTTCTCCTCAATTACTAGTAGTTTGAGCAAGATCCTCCATGTCTTCGTCGGAATCCACAGGCTCGTCATCTAGCAGGGATTTTTGGCTTCGATGGTTTGCTGGGCTATCCGGAGCCGTGGTCATGTATTCGACGCAGTCTTCCAGCATCATGGCCCCAAGATAGTCTGCCGGATCCAGCATTCTCTCAGTTGCATACCACTTCACGTCAGGCATACACATTGTAAAGCGACTGGTATAGAAGCCCGTTGCGCTGGCCAGATCCTGGATCATCAGCACTTTTGTGCACTACGCTGCCTGTAGCTCAACTGATGCAGCATCACAAGGCATCCAGGCGTCCAGAGCAAAGTAGACTCGCTGTATGTTGCCAGAGCAGTCTCTTAGCAGGTGCCCGTGTCTATGGTCATCAACCCCATCTTCACTATCGGTCATGAGCCAGGGGCAGTGCCTCAACTATGAGTACCAGACTGGGACTACTCAGGCAATCACGCACATGATGATCATGCTTCTCCCGTGTCTTTTGCGACTGAGCGGCTTGCTCAGGCAGTCCACATAGATTTCAACTCTTCCCGTCGATTCTGCAAGCATCCTCGCCTTGCGGAGGTTCCCCGCAGCTCCTACAAGTACATCATATGAAGCCTGCAAGCCATGTCTAGCTTACATCGCAGGTCCTCCGGCAGCCAGGCTCATGAGACTTGTGAACGCTTTCATGCCCTGTGGCGTCGAGAATTCCGCCAACACATCCTGAACGAGACTGCCGCGAATCGTGGTCTGAAGGTATTGCTTGCAAAATGCGAGAAGCATCTGGATGGCATGCTGCTGAAGTTTGTCGCAAAAAGCTGTCCTCCTCACTTCGTCCCTCTTTTTGGCTTGTCACTTGCACGAAGTGCATGAGAGCCTGCATTGCTTGCTTGTGCGCCCACTGGCTGAGGAGCTAGCCAGGGCGCCTGCATGACTTGGGGATGCATGTCATCCCCAGGCATGGCTGCGTCCGCCATAGCCGAATGCACTCTTGTCTTTAGGTCTGCTCCATGCTGCTCATCGTTAAAATTGTACAGTTGAAGACTTTAAAAAAGCTCACAACCGAGCCGAAACTAGCAGCCCTTGCATGGAGCATAGAAACCTGCAAGCATAAGCCCCCCTTGGCTTCGAGCAGAGAGCTCCATAGTCAGCGGCTTGGAAGTCTTCTGGGTCACGCTCTGCAGAGCCTCTGCAGATTCGTAAATCTTGCGGCAACAAAGCCGCTGGTCCCTTGACCAGCCTTCTGCATTTCTGTGAACATCTTCTGGTGTTGCTCCTTGTTGCAGAACTCACTACGAATAGGTCTTACGTAGGTCTTAGGCGGCGAGCAATACTGCCATGTGGATTATCTTTAGATGCGATGCCCTCCCGGCCAAAAGAGAAACAAGAAGAGCCAACATGCACCCACATGATGCATGGCCCTGACGCTTTGGTCTGCAAAGAAATCGCTTCTGGTAAAGGCCTGCGTCGTCTGTAGTGTCTTTGCGCACATGGCTACATTGGCTTTGGCCTCCTCACCTTGGGAAAAGAGAAACGCAGAGAGAGAGATTATGCGCATAAGGGCCGAGGGCTTGGGGGCTCACTCTGCTGCCTCAACAGTGCCAAAAGCTCTTCGTAGGATGCCTCCAAGGATGCGGTGATACGCGGTGATATGCGGTGAGGCGATGCTGGCAGATTGGCTACATTGGCTGATTTTTGATGGCTTTCATCTGGCCTTGCCATCAGGCTTGGGGCTTGCTTCGGCCGATTTTCCAGACTCCGCAGGCTCTGCCTCATCTTTGGATTCAACATGACTTGTGATATGGACGTCAGTGCTCGTAATAGGATGCTTGGACTCCAACATGCTTGAGCTGCGACTGACTGCTATTCCCATCCTTGCAGATACGGCAATGAGGAATGCGCACACCTAGTGGATATGACCAATACAATTTGTGCAAGTCAATCCCGGGTCATGTGCCGAGAGCCATGAAGCTGCATCCATGGCGAAATTCAAGTCTTCGGGCCTCATCTGGACTCGGAGAGCCACGCCATTTTGTGCAAGGCGGTGCTGCAAACCGATTCAGATGCGTACTTGAAGGGGTTCACTAGAAAGGTGCCGACCAAGCCTTTCCACAAGGCCAAGAATACCAAACAGCATTTTTCGTCCCCTGTGCCCATGCCCTCACAATCTAACAGGCCTGCGCCGAGACCTCCCGCCAACCAAGCCTCATTATTGGCTCAAGACCAAGGCAGTCTTGTCTGAACGGCAAAATCCTGAGCGTGCCAGCCCACCATGGCCCGCCAGAAGGTGGTTCCGCGGGAAGTGGATAACCCTGCCCGTGGGGCAGAATTTATGTTGCATCCATTGCAAGCCGATGCCTTCAGGACAAACTTTGATTAACTGCGGTTTGGCAAGGACAAAAGCAACAGCTGCGCTGATGCTCATGACATCGGACACCCCGTTGTGGAACTCAAAAGCGGTCAGCAAATTGCTACAAGGTCCAGTGGCCTGGTACAGCATGGGCGGCATGGCAAAGGGCGGCGCCTGCTACCGCATGCGCATTTCCAGATGCACCGGCGTCAGCAGGCAACTGTAGGCAACTGCTGCACGACTTGCTCAAAGCAGAAGCCTGTGGATACGCTGTCCCTGGACTGGGGTACTGCGGTGCAGGGGCCTTTAAGTGTCGCAACCCACTCCAGCTGTGCACGCCCGTCAGCAATCAAACTGTAGGATGCGGACCTGATAACCGGGACTGGGGCTGGAGTATGCCTCAGCATCTGGGACCAAATCTTTGCAAAAACAAGTTTGATGACTGTGGTAAAGCCTCGTGAGCTATTTGCTTTGCCTAGCTATGGAAAGGCCATGATAGTTTAGGCAGCGAGCAGGCAGCTGCGGTCGGGGTGGTGGCCGCGGTGGCAGCGGCGAGCTGGGCGGCTGGGGGCCGCTGGGAGGCTGCGGGCCACCGGGCGGCTGCGGGCCAACCTGGCAGGCCTATGACATCCTACGACTTGCCGGGTACTTTTAGGCGTTTTTCAAGGCCTGGCCAGCTGGACCAGGCTGCCGGGAACCTGCAGAGCCTCTGGTGGGGACGCGTTTGCAAGCAAAAGACTCGCCACAATAAAAGAGCTGAAGCGGCCTCCGCTGCCACGCTGTTCCAGCCGCCGATATGCCTATCGTCATTTTCTTTCATGAATTCGCATGTTCGCTATGAAGCGACGGGCCTCCTGAATATCTTCTTGTGAGAGACCCTTGTCAGCCTTGTTGGCATGAAGAGGGTGTCGGGTGCAGTAAGCACAAGCTCACCAGGTAAGAGCTCTGAGTTGAGCACAAGGAACTGTTCTTTTTCCGCCGGAGACCTTGCCTGGCTCCACGTCGTTTGACAGGCTTTGTGCAACATCCATGACTGTGCCCATCCAGGATTTCCAGGACGAGTGACGCCAGCTTGGCTCAAGAAGGACACGGCCTTTTCGATCAGGTCCTCAGGCACGATCCATGTGGCAAGGATGCAGTTGCGTAGCCAGCAAGGCTGGAGCAGCAAGTCTGAGGCATTCACTTCCCGGCTACCCTCAGCCTGCGTGCTCATGTTGGCCAGAACAGGGAAACTGACTCTAGCTCTCTTTGGCGGATGCAGGCTTCGCCACGCTCACGCAACTTGTGCCGGCACCCCCTGTGGACTTGAAGTTGAGGTGAAACTCTTCCAAGCGGGGCTCTTCCGTCAGAAGCAAGCTAAGTAAACAATGTTGCGAGAAGCACTCAGACGTCTTGATTGGCTTCTGCGACTGCTGCGAGCAACTCTTGCATGAGACTGTTCAAGTCTTCCTGAGACGACAGGCACTGCCAGAGAAGCAAGGAAAGATTGCCAGCAATCAGAGCCAAGCTTCACTGCATTTCATGAAGCCGGCATCGTTCTGAAGTTGCATTTCGTTTGTCACGATCGCCTAGCAGCACACGCCGGAAGCCAAGAGGGCAAAGCTTGAGGGTTGGAGGCCTCCTCGACATCTTCTGGCTGCAGCTGCAGCCTGACACTTGGCAGAATTGGCAGAAGCACATCGCTCTGAAGGTGCAAACATGTGAAAGCTGTGTAAACTACTTCTCGTCCTTGAGACGCCGAGGTAGGTCTGCAGCTCAGCAGTGGCTTCCACCAACTCAGTGCATGCTTATGCCGTGTGTATTACCATCCAGATGGGACAGTTCTATGACTGGCAGACAGCACGTGTTTCCGTCAGCCTTGAAATCTACGCGATCGAGCTCTTGCGCAGACAGGTTCTTGAATTGCGTCAGCAGGGTCCGCAACTCATCTACCATGACCTTCCAAGTTTTGAGAGGCACGTGCGCATGCTGCATCATCCCGCCAGACATGGATTGGCCAGCATCCAAAACAAATCTGTCAAGCGTGCACCTTGTGAGCCTCGACAATCCTAAGCAACGACTTGCTCAGAAGTGGTGGCCACGAAGAACCAGCAGATCAACATGGGAAGGTTCATCTGCGTAACTACAGGTGAAGCTGCGTCCGAGAAGCTGTGAGATTGTAATTTGTCGGGCCCTCGAGGGATTGCCCCTTCCTGATCTCCATTGTCTGGGGTGGCGAAGATCAGCTCAGCAAGGTTTCGAAGCGCAAAGTTCAGTCCTGGAGGCTGGAAAAGCCTCCGGGCCTTCGCCATGATCTCATGATCTTCCTGCAGATCATGCTGAGGAATGGTTTCAGATTCAGGTCATCGGGCCGCACTGATCCTCATACTGTTCCAGCAGAGCTTGAAATGACTCCGCTGACAGGCCAAAGTCCTGCATTCCCAGCGCATGAACAGTGCAGTGCTTAAGAGGAGCCAATGATTAAGAAAATGCTTTCTTCATAACCAAGACTACCAGACTGACCCAAATGCTATGCCGAAAGGAAAGGCTGCGGAATCCCAATCATAAAAGCATCGGAAGTTTGATGAGCGTATCTGTGATGCCTGCTCCTTCACAACAATGTGATGCAGGAGGGATGACATGTGATGCAAGTCCAGGATCGGAGGTGGTGGCAAGCCATGCTGCCGAATTAGCCTCGGGATTCTGGCACGGCACGGCAATAAAGGAGGCGAAGCAGCATCAAAACTCTGCTGCCCGAAGCACAACCAACAGTCAGAGCTGTATGCTGGACCCCAAGTTCTCGTCGGCTGTGCTGTAGATATGGACTTATGCTGTGGCATCTATGCAGCAAGGGCACTCATGAACGGCCATAAACGGCAAATGCTGTTCCAGCTGGCTGTCCCTGATCGAGATGTGGCGCGAAAGCATCAAGGCATTGCTCCTTGTTTCTGCCCAATCGCCTCATGGCGAGCAGCATTCGCTGGCCCAGTTGGCTTATTGCCTGGCCCATGCTGGCCAGCTGTGAGTCGGACAAGGAAGCGAGAGGGGCAATGCAAGAGCTAGAGAGCAGGGAGAGACTGACAACGAGACTTGAGAGCAGCGCGGATGAAATCCAGAAGTCTATGTCTATGTACGGTGAAGATTTGCAGCTGCCCCAACCATCCCCTAGTGACCCCAGCGGCCCTGCAAGCCCAATCGCGCCCCGTCTGGGATGCATCCGGCCCGTCGCCTGCCTAGAGTAAAAGTAGAACACTCGCTCAGAAAGCCTGAAACCAGTTGGATTGTGCTTGTACTCTTGCACTTACATGCCCCTGCACGAATCCTTGAAAACAAGGTGGGAATAGAACGTCCAAGCAACGCCTATCTCTGTTGCGTTCTTTTATTTTTCTATCATGTCTCACTTCCATTCTTGGAAGTTTGGGCAACCCTAATCAGTTCGGACCACTACTCTGTGATGAATTAAAGCACTGATATTTTCCCCGAGGGTCACTTTTAGACATTGTGACTACTAGACTACACCGTGCCCCTTCAAATGCAGTTCCCCGCCTCCCATGCACAATTGTCTGAAAGTCTGCCGCTACAACCTCATACTCCAAGCGTTGCAGGCCACCCGCGCAAGCCTGTAACTCTTTG